ATGTGAAGAGAAACTGACAATTACAACCAATAACCAATTAGAAAACACATGAAAAACTATCCTAAACCACTATGACTAGTATTCACCAATACCATAGATGATAGCACTATGCTATCAGTTTCTTCATGATTCACCATATAAAAAGATTATACCTCTTCTACATAGCAGCACAAGACGTTTACACAAGGAAGGAAAAGAGTAAGTTTAATTTCTTTTCACCTATTTCTTATCAATGGAGATGGAAAGTGCTCTAGTCTATTTTTAATGTTTTATCTTGTCCACCTATTTGTAGATAGGCCTTTTTGTAACATGACAACCTGAAATTTATTAAGAGACATGAAACTTTTATTATATGATCGAAAGAACAAAAGTTAGTAAATATTTGTTACAAGTACCTGGCAGGAACAAGTGCAGCCTCAGTCTTTTTCAGAAGGCTAGTACATATTACAAACCAGGAAACGATTGTTGAAATATGTGCTATGATGCAGTTTCTGAAACACGGTTTCATGGTTGGCCATGATAAGTGTCAAATGTTTTCTCCTTTTTATTCGGGGTCCATTAGGGTCATAGCTGATGGTACCTTATAAACAAAATTTTCAGAACAGATTGCAGCTTGTATAAGATAGACAGGTTTAGTTAGTATCATATTTAATCGAAAAGCAAAATAATCATTTAACTATTTACATGTCTAGATCCAAGGTTTGAGAAATCAATAAAGTGCCCTCCCTAGAAATCACAGTGGAAGCAAGTAAATAACCCAAGCTTGGTGTCGCACCACAATAAAGAGGATCATAAAGGAAAAAAATAGAGGGTCATACAGAATAATCAGGAATCTGTACACACAGCTTACTACAGTTTACTCATGCTTCAGAATCAATCAACATGCTTAATGCCGCACCACAATAAGTAGCACATGGATATTCTAACTCACAGGACAACCTATATAATGTCATCTTGCCTTGCATTTGCCCTCTCATTGCATCGACCACCAAGGTAACATAAAAAAGCACGCCAACCAAGATAAACCAAATCATGGACTTGGACAGGAAAATCAAAGAGAGGGAAAACCTATGGATGGGTTAGATAGCAAGTCGCTCGCGAGGGCGCCCAGGTCTAGCCGACAACACCCGGCCCCACACACAGTTCGGAAGCACTCTAGCACATAATCAGATGGCATGAAAGTACCAACAACGACCAACCAAACCGAATAATCCACATGAATGGTTGTGAATGAAGGCAGAATCATATGCATCTCACAACTAACAAATTTAACTGATAATTCAAGATACTAAAGATCTGCTCTACATTTTCGACAGTGAAAATAGTAAAGATCTCGAATGCAATAAAACAACAAGGAAGCAAACAAGTTGCACATGATTTAAATTACGTCGCGTAACTTCTAAAGTTTTCCCCTTATATGACAACCTTCTTCCCAGCAAGAGTCATTACAGTATTTAGATATCTTGTATAAAAAAGATCAAGAACTAAAAACTACATTCGGCAAGACATCCTCTCTACAAAAGGAAATTCCCAGAGCAAACGTTAGCCGATTCAGTGCATATCTCCAAGGCTCATGTAAGGGAATTGTCAAAAAGGAGTGAACTGGATTGGAAGGAGCTGCAATACCTAAGGATCGGTTGGAGACTGCGAGGTCGACAAGGACGCCTATCAAAGCATGTTTCTTTTGTCATAAGCTTTTATTTTACTTCGTCATGAAGCTGTGAAAAAAGCCATCTCGGTATGAGCTTTCGAGATTTAAACCAACCATTTTCATGAATAAAGTAGTTGCTTCAGTTCTGTTGGGCCGTATCATATAACAAAGAACAGAACAAAATAGAAGTTTCTCTACCAATGTTGTAATTGTCTTGAGTAAATGGAAGTTAAGATAAATGAGAGTCCTTGAGGCAAACACAAATTAAAAAATCAGCCACCGCAATCCTCAATGTCCGTTGTTCCTCTCTCTATGGCCAGGCATTAAAACCAAAACAGCCTAACCAGCCCACATTAAAGCAAAAATGGAAAACATGACATCCTCTATTATAGAATTAAGAAAAATATGCTCTCCGGGGATAGATTGGTTCACCTTGAGGTACGGAATAATTCGAACTCCTACAAAACATTACATTGTTTGCTTTAGTATATGACCCGTTCAATCTGAAAAGTATTCAAAATTTTCATCCAAATCCTTGCAATTCTTCCTACTGTGTTGAGCTTGTAACAGTGATATTAGTATAAGAATTTTATTCTCTTTCTCTAGCTAGAAATCTCCAATCTGAAGTTTCAAGACACTGATCAAAGTATATTATGTCAGAAAAGAAACTCATTCCACTATGGATATAATTATTTGGCTCACACTTGTAAATCAAGCAAGGAAGGAAGCGAACCTGATGGTGTTGGTGTATTGCGGCTCAGGCCAGTGTGCTCGACTTGCCGCTGCGTGTTGTTGGCTTCGCGCCACAAGACTCACCATGTCCTGACCAGTGCAACACATATAAGATCACCCTCATAACTCAAGAGAAGTAGGGAAGTATGTAACTAACAAAAAAAACAGATGTAGCAAGTGCAAGGTAGGCTTAGTGGTGCTTAGAGCTTACTTCAACTTTATACCAAAGGATGTACACCGGTCATCTTCCTCGCTGGTCCCAGACATTGCCGCATGCCACCCTTCGAGAAGACAGTAGAGGGATGATTCTTCAACTGAAGATGAAGAAATGAAGGAAGAGCAAAAATTTACCTGAGCATTGGACCGGCGTCATTCATGGATGGAGCTTGGAGGAACCCTCTTCTCCACTTCTCTCGATCCACTGCCGCTATTACTGCCTCGCACCATGCATCCGAGCCTACATAAGGAAAATGGCCCTCAACACCTGAACAACACACGGGGCGCAAAACTGGGCATACAGAAAAAGGTGCATCAATCAAATATCTGCAGAGATGCATAGCAGGAAATGCACATACAACTTCATGGTTTTTTATGGATGAAAATACCAACATCTAGACCTAAACATCACCCAAGGATTATACATTTCAAAATATAGAGCAGAGAGGCTATCAACAGTTGTATTCTAAATCTCTTGACATCACAATTCATGCAAGAAAAATGGACAAAATAAGACACTGCAAGCAAATGTGCACCAAATTATGAGCAAAGAAACTGATAATTAGAGCAGATTACTCCGCTTGCCCTTCTCACCGGCCTGCTCCTTCCCCCTGACATCGGCCTCCTCCCCCTCCCCTGTAGCTCCTTCCCCGTGTCATCGGCCTCAATTGCATGAAGAAAGTATTATGGTGGTGGAAATAAGCAGAAGATAGTCTTCTTCTGGGATCTGCAATAATACTCCCTTAGGAAGAACTGCAAGATACAAGGCATACATACTCAGATGAGAGAGCAGATCTGCGGGCTAAGCATTTCTTGTAAGGTGAACTGAAGTAACGCATGAATGTACCTCGAGGAAGACGACCTCAGAATGAACCCGTCGCTACCCTTCGCCTCCAACAAACACCGCATCAACAGATTGATTGGAATATCAATTCCTAAAAGGCATGATCATAGAAAAGGGATTTATCAGCAGACGTATACTGATTCCAATGATGGGCTTCTATATGAAACCAAATTTTAAATATACTGAAATCTTTTGCATCAGATTAAAATTAGCAAAAAAAAATGATGGTAAATCTAATATCATATCCAAATACAACTTTGTGCTCAGCAGCACCTACAATCTAAGGCGGCTAATCCATCAAAGAACGTATATACATTACCTACAATCGAACGCAGCTGATCCATCAAAGAACGTATATACAGGAAAGGCTAATCTAAAACAAAGTCTAAAAGGTAAACTAAACCTGCATCCAGTTGATAGAAAATAAAAACAATCTACAACTTAGTGTGTAAATTATGAAAAAAATACAGGGAATGATGGGGGCAGAAGGTTGCAACCGGCCTGGAGATGGACACCATGCCACCACTGAAACTCAGTGTAGGAATCAAGTGCAACCCAAACACTATGTGCATAATTAGAAGAAAAAAAGGAAGTATGAGCCCAGTTCACCATGGGAAGATGAGGAAAGGAGGAAGAAAGAGCTCACCGCTGTGTTGCATCTCTCCTCCATGAACTGGCAACCGTCCTTGACCTCTCCCCCTCTGCACGCAACCACCGGGGTGGGGACCCTGCTGCCCTCACTGCAGCAACCGCTCCTTCTCGACCTGCGACCAATCTGGAATCATGGCGTGCAGCGACCCCCGAAGATGGAGAGGGATGGTGGAGTCCATGGCAAAGGCAAGGACGCCGGGGAGGGGCAGGGAAAAGAGGGACGCGAGAGAGCCGGCGGGGGGCAAGGCACGACCTTCGTCGCGCCACCATGACCACGGCCTCCTCCTCCTCACGCATCTGCCCCTGCCACCATGACTCTCTCCGTACCTGGATCTCGGGGAGGATGCATCTGGAGAGGGACATTGGCTGGGGGGAGCGGCCGGCGAGGCTCTGGCCCTGGTCGGAGAGGGAAGCAGGGACGGGGTCGAGGGAAGAGGAGAGGAGGAGACGAGCGGGAAGAGGAAGGGCGGCGTGGGGGAGAGGAGGCGGCTAAGGGGGAGGCGACTGGCAGCGGCGAGGGTTTCTCCATGGCAGCATTTTCTATTTATACCCCTACACATAAAAAGACTAAAATGCCCTTGGCGGGGCACAAAATTTACAAGTGGTGGCACGAAGCGATTTAAAGGCGACGTGGCTGGCTTCGTTGTGCCTAGGAGTTCTTCAGGGTTTATATGTTCAATAGGTATAGATATAGATATAGATATAGATATAGATGTGGAGTTGTGGATAATCTGCATATATCACCTCATAATACATGACTAACTTAGCTATAACAACACATAGGTCCTGGCCCAGATTTTATCTTTTGAGCAACTTTAACTGGATTAGAAAGTCCAAAAACAAATCATACAAACTAAACATGTGCAGGTAAACTTTATTTATTTTCTTTTTCGCAGGGCAATGCCCTCAACACGAAGAGCAATAACAAAAATCATTAGGGCTAGGGCCACGACAACGGCCACCATTAAAGTGTAACCCGGTGCAATAGAGTTCACAGACGATTACTGGATGAACGTCACGACATGGCGGGCCATATGCCTTTGTTTCCTTGCAATCATGTCTGAGTGGTAGCACTGGAGCCAAATTATCATCGCCTCTATCTGTTCCTGTAGATGGAGCCAAAGCCTTCCCACCTCGTCCGGGAGATAAAGGTGAAGCACCACCACCAATAAACTTTTGGCGGCCTAGTTGCTCTCCACTACTGGGTTCTGTTTGTGAAATCAAGTCCTGAATTAGCATCAAGAGGTAAAGGGACAAGGCAAAACTGTGAAATAAAAGGAAAATCAGATAAGTGTGGATCAGTTTTTCCTTTGGTATAAGTTGAACACAAGAACCGTATACCAAGCCTATTATTATCATAAGTTCACAATGACGAATTTGAGAAAATAAACAAATACCAAGTACTGCTATGAATATAGAAGTACTACACCTATAACTAAATATAAGAAGGTTTTGGTATAGTCTTTCTATATATACATAAGTATGGCATATGTAGGTTAACGTATGATTCATTGTACCTTCAATGGTTAATAGGACCAGAAACATGATCACTAGAATTGTCATTTTCCCGGCCATCATTTTGCTCTGCTTGCGAAAAGCCAGAAGTGTTCTTCCAGAGGGACTCTATTTATGGAAGCTTGGATTAAGCAGGTTTGCTGAAGTGATGTGTAGAATATCTTTAAGATATTGTAGCATTGTCTCATGACTTTTATCAATAAAAGAAATTAGAAGATATGCATCTACCATTAGTTCCACTTACATAATATATTTCCACAAGATATACATGATGATGAAGATAGATATCTCCACCAGATATACATGATGATGAAGATAGACATCTCCATAAGATATTCATTATGTCAGAAGGATTGTTGCAATATGGTGTAAGTGGGTGTTGAAGCATCTTCCATCTTATATCTTATATCTTATATCTTATCTTGTCTTATCTATCTATCTATCTATCTATCTATCTATACCTATACTAATTATGTACTCCCTGAAAATTCATACGGTGTAGATCGATCAGCCGATATAATTAGGATGTAGATTTCTTTAATTCTGCGGAGAATTACTAGTTAAATTGTTAGTAATGTCGCACCTATGGGCAGTGCGCCATTACTAGTTAAAACTAGTAATGGCGCACTGTCCACATGTGCGCCATTACTAACAATTTTTTTAATTTTTTTTTCAAAACTACTAATGGCGCATGGTGGGTGTGGTGGGCCATTACTATGTCAACTAGTAATGGCGCACTACTCCCATGGTGCGCTATTAGTAGTTTTGAAAAAATTATAAAAAAAATTACTAATGGCGCACCATGGGATGTGGTGCGCCATTAGTATTTGCACATTAATGGCGCATCAACACATGGCGCGCCATTAGTATTTAGTAATGGCGCACCACATGTACAGTGCGCCATTAGTGTCCATCCCATCTATAACCCTTTTCCTAGTAGTGTTTATTAGCCGATAGTCGCACCCAAGCAACCCTAAACTCAAGAAAAGAGTGAAGTAACTCTTTAGCCTCGTCAACTAGTTGCCCATTTGCAAAGAAATCCCGTTGCTTGTTTCTGATCTTGGTTACCACCAATTGGGAGTCCGTCCGGGCGTTAATTCCTTTGGTTAGAACAAGGGCCCGTTGACACGCCATCAGCTCCGCCACCTCGGCATCGTGAGCGGAAGGGAAAAAATGGCATGCTCCCGCAATGAACTTGCTATGGTGGTTCCTAAGGACGGCAACTCCCCCTCCTGATTCTTGGTGCTTTGCCATAACACCATCAGCATTAGCTTTTATCCATCCTTCAGCTGGCTTTTTCCATCGCTCCAATGCGTTTCTTTCTCTCTGTTGAGGTATTTTCTCACGCATAGACTTCCATTCAGCAGTAAGCTGAAGCACTCGTTCACATATACTTCCTGGGTCTTTCATTCTGCGGAAGGGAAAAATTGGATGATTGAGATAATGGGTGTGAGTACACCCGGGAGTAGTCACACCTTTCCGGTCTTTCATTCTGCATGTTTCCTTTGCTTCATTCCTCATAGTCCATAGCTCGTACCAACTCCTAATCACAATTTCCTTTTCTTCAGACCCTGTGTAGCTAAGCCAATCCATGAGCCATGCACGTAAGGCCGCAGGGTCATGAACTTGCACCGAAAGGCATGGCAGCGGGGCAGCGACAGCCTCACGCAGGCACCTCCAAAACTCAATTGCATGCGGGCACCTCCAAAACCTATGCATAGTATCTATCTATCTATCTCTCTCTATATATCTATGATAATTATGGACGCCCTGAAAATTCCCACGTTAATCAGAAATTAAGAGCCATTAATCTCATGGGATCAATTTATTACGGTGTAGATCGATCAGCCCATATAATTAGGATGTAGATTTCTTTAATTATGTGGATAATAAAATCTGTCTATCTATATATATATATATATCTATCTATACCTATACTAATTATGGACTCCCTCAAAATTCCCATGTCAATCAGAAATTAAGAACCTTTAATCTCGTGGTAACAAATTATTACGGTGTAGATCGATCAGCACATATAATTAGGATGTAGATTTGTTTAATTCTACAAATAAAAAGATGTGGCAAATCGAAGGCTCACGGCCCTTCGTGGAAAAACGTTCAAAATTTATTTTGCAAAAGGTGATCTGATTCTAATCTATACTATTACACCGTCCTTTCCTCATCTATTTAAATATACTAGTAAGCATGCACGTGCAACGCACGTCTCATAATCTGACTCTTATAAAAACATTTATTTTGAATATAGTTTCTCTGTTAGCAAGTTATTTTTACCGAACCATTTAAATGTGTCTTATACGAAACAATATGATCGCACATGTAGCATACAATTCGTGGGACCTGGGTTGTTTGCATCATTTTTCATGTCTCAATTTCTTAAATTATCATAATTCAAGTGCACTAAAGTGACAGCTAGTTTTGGTCTACAATCTGTCGTATGAGCCAATAAAGTAGTAACCTAGTGGTACAACATAGAATAAGTATAATGATACGTGGCGAAAAATACATGTGTAGGAGTGTCAGAAAAAATATCTCACGTGAAGTACGCTGTAAAATTTAACATCCATAGACTACACGATGACCTAACTTAAATATATTCAACAAAAAATTTATCAACTTTTATGGAGATTCATATAACAAATTTTAAAATCATCAAACAAAAATGACAGTAACCAACGCTGATGATTTTTACGTAGAAGATAAAAAGGATGGCAGGCATGCAGGGGAATCGGATAAAAAAGAATGGGTCTTTTTAGAAGATATTTTTTTGATTTGGACAAGGCGCACAGTCACAATCTCTCTCTGGTAAGTTCCTAATTTTATTTAAAAAAACATTAGTTATCCTCCCCACCGCCACCTCAGTCCCTTACATTTCTCTCCCCGTTCCCCATTCTCCCATGGTGGCCACACCCCTCACTCCACAGCCGGCCCTCTTCGTCACCAACGCCGGCGCTCCCTGGTCAGGCCGCCGCTCACCTTCGTCACCACCGTCGGTGCTTCCTGGTCAGGCTGCGGCTCCCCTTCGCAGCCGCTGCTCTTCCTCCCCTTGATGTGGAATCGCTCGAGGAAGTGGCCGAGGAGGCCCTCGAGCTCGGCATGCTCGCGCCAGCGCTAGGCGCCGGCGAAGGTGGACGCGAAGGTGTGGCACTCGCACGCGCCTGCTCTACCCCGCACCTTCTCCGAATCCGTTGGCCGAAGTGTTCGAGAAGGCGCTCGAGGTCGGCATGCTCGCCGGCGATGCCGGGCCCCTCCCTCCTCCTGATACCCTCTCTGTTGCCGCCTTGAGCCTCTCCACCCTCTCCCGTGCGGTCGTCCGGGTCCAGGTAAGTCCCTCTCTGCAACCCTGCCACCTGCTCCACCCCGTCAATTTGGTTCTTCGCCAGGTGCATCCCCTCATTGAGAAATCACCATGAATATTCCCAAGACTGTGTATAATTGTTCTGTTATAGGGCTTTTTTTTGCGGGGTTATAGAGCTTTATTATAAAAGCTGATTTAACTGACTATTATTCTGCTCTAGATTGCTGCACCTTCTGGCTGTGAGTGGATCCAAGAGTCAGCATGATACAATATCTTTTCAAAAGATGATAGATTATCTTCATGAAAGAAAGGAAGTTGGAGAATTATTATTGAAGATGAATTCAGTGTCATGTGTTTCTCAAGAGCTAAAATGGAACAAGAAGTGCAAAACTGGCAATTCTTTTTGTAATACTATTAAGCTCGTCATGGTGGTTACCATGAATGAGTGTCTGGTTTAATGTTTAGAAAGTGAGTTTTGTGTTACAATGTTCTCTTTCAAGACTGTTATATGAGAAATCATCCGTTTAATTGGTGGCTATGTTGATGATAAGGCCCTTAATGGTTCAGATTTCCCGAGGGAGGAAAAGGAGGTGCTGAAAGGGGATGGGAGCAACAAGTATAAATCGAAGAGTATGTTTTGATTCTGAGTTGCATTGCACAGTATTTCTATTGTTCTATGAAATCCATGGAATTGTATGGAACATTCCTTCATGTGATAGGCATATTTGTTTACTAAATCAAACTGCGTAGTTCCAACAAACAGACATTCAAATGCACCATTTTACCCTTTGAAAGTAGGAAGTGCAACTTCTTTAGTGTTTAGAATGGATCAGGTGTACTTCAGATGTTTTCAGTTTTAAATAATTATGCAGATTCTCAATCATCATGTGTGCAAAAAGTGGGTTTATACAGATTTGTACAATTCATTGTAACATCCTGGAGCTTAAACTAATTATGATTAATTTGGTCATTCTCTGATGTGTTATTACATTAATACCTTTGGCACCTTTGTAATTTGCTAAGCTAAATTCAATATTTCAGGTGTTCTGCGACAACTCAAGTCACCTTCGTAAATTCTGGAAGCCAACTTTTTTGACACCAGACCAAGGAGATAGAGTGCATGATTCAGTCAGTTACAAAAGTGCAGTAGCCAAAAACACTAACCATTTTCCACATAAAAAACCATTAATGACCTTTCCCTCTCCATTTGCCTCTTCAGATCCTTAGGGTCTACATCTATGATACATTCTAGTTAGTTTAGCATCTCACCAGTTATCTGAATAATACATAAGCATCCAGTACAAGGGCATTTTTACCTTGGTACATGGCATCTCATCAGTTATCTGAATAATAAATAAGCATGCAGTACAAGGGCACTTTTACCTTGGGACATGGCCAGGGGTGTATGTGGTACATTTTTCTCGTCATTAAGCAGTGATGTTGAAGCCTGTTTCTTCTCATGGGCTTCACGACGTCTTTTAAGAATATCATCTTTATTGCGTGCATAATACTCTTTTTTCCTCTGCCTCTTCAATTCTTCAAGGTATGTATAAATACATGCCATTAAATTTTGCACATAAGCAACAGCAAAACAGTAGCGCAAAGTAGGAACCGATTGATGATAGTTACCCAATGTTTGGTTGTTGCTTATATCCTGAAATGGGGTGCACGCCCCCGCACTATTGGGATATGTCATACCTTCGCCTTCATGTGAATATTCATGCCATTAAATTTTGAGAAGCATGGA